AACCGCTTGCACTAAGTGAACCGACTTGACTTCATCTAAAAAATAACTTTAAAAATGTATTTTTGTCTTTTCTGAACTCCTGTGTGGATATTTACTGTAAACCATGCCCGTTAATGAATGCTTGTGTTTTTTTTTTTCTCCAGACCAAACAGCAAACATACAGATTGGAATAGTTGAGTGAATTGTTACTGACATAACTACACTGAGTAACAGTCAGTGAAAGAAATACATTTATGCATGTGTGCAGAAGAAGTCATGGTGTTAAAATAGCATGCATTGAAATTATAGTAAAATCCAGTAGATGGCAGTCTGTTAGTGCACAATCTTTCCACCCACATTGTCACACACCCACAGTTCTCCTGGTAGGTGTGCCTCTTGCCATCAGGAGAGGTCCCCGACGTGCAATGTCTTCCCTGCACAGTGTGACTGGTGAACGCAAAGTGACAGTGCAAATGAACTTATTTTGCTGCTGTAATGAAGTACACAAGCTATTTCAATATGGAATTTAAAAAGAAAGCGTGCATGAATAATGCCTGCATGAAAAAGTAACCGCTCTGTCTCTCTCAACGTCTCTGACAACGTCTGTGTCTCTGACACAACGGCTGTTTTTTTTGCCTCCTTAATTTTCTTCCCTCTTGTGCTCCATCTCTTGCACTTGTACAAAGCCGAATGGCGTCACCACCCACCACTCATACACACACACCCTGCATCTAACACACACCTTCTCACCATCTGTCTGTGCAGCGGCCCGTGTCTCTGGCACTGGGAGCAGTTGGGAGCATGAGAGTGAAAAAAGAAGTGTCTCTTGGCTCTGCAGTCCTGAGTCCCACTTCCTCTCGTCTTTCTCCTGCTGCGCCACTGTCTATCAAATGATCTCACAACACCATGCTGACCGCCGATGGGCTTTCCCTTCCACTGTAACACCTACACTTGATTCCATTTGGAGAAAAATATAAATCTATCTTCCTGGAACCTTATGGGCAAAAGAAATGAAGGACGCATCTGTTCTGGGTTTTTTATGGTTTCCCTCAGTCATCAAATCAAACATTAAAGCCCGTAACTCAACGAGAGGAAACATAAACATGCTTGATTAGATTATGTATTAAGCATTTCAATGTTTCCACATCTGTAAAAGTAAAAATGTAAAGTACCAGGAGGGATGGAGTCTGTGCATGTGCCCTGTGACAGGCTGAGGAGGAATCTGCACACTGTAGATATGAGGTTGTAAAGAAGCTGTGAAGTTTTCTGCACACTTCTGGATTATATTTAACACCATGACTTTATTGTATGTACAAAATAAAATCTAAAAAGAACCCAGGAATCCTAGAATCTACACAAAAACCGAATGAGTGAAATCCACAGGAGCACACAGTCATCAAGACTTCTCTTTTCAGTGAATTCTCATAACCATACAGCTCTACAAAGAGAATAGTCGGCAGCTTAAGTAATTTGAACAAAAATGCATCTCCCCTCTCAGTCTCCTCCATTTAGACAGCGAGCAGAAGTGCCTTAATAACTGTGCTATATTCAGCTGGAGTGATAAGAAATGGCAGCTATCAGCGGGCGGTTTGGAAGCTGCATATAACCGTTATTGTGTTTGTATATATAAAAATTGATTTATGTGGCCTATCACTTAGCAGGCGCAATATGTGGATGAATATGGGCTAATATAATATTATGGAATATGAGAGAGGGTTAAGGAAAAGGCCAGGTGCTGCCTCAAGTTCAAGAAGGTATGATCCAAGTCTAAAGACATGAAATAATACAAACACAGTTTCAATAGCTAAAGCAATGACTGTCTAGTTTGAGCATATGCTTAACAAAATACAAGAGTTTAAATTATTTGTCATGGACTTTGATTTATTTATTTTTAATTTCAACAAGAGTTTTTAATTTTAAGAAATCCTATTACAACTATATTACAAGAACAAAGGATTGTATGTGGGGAAGGGGGTGGTGTGTGTTTTATTTGGACCCTCCCCTTGTAACACACTCCTGTCAAAATAATACAGCAGTATGGAACTGGTCAAACAAATTTCATAAATAATGGCAAGAGACAAAGCACAAAGAGCTTATGATTGCATACTCTAATTTACACAAGAATATCTTAATGAAAATTTTCACATGGCCTCAATTGCACGTTTAAAATTGAATTATAAATTGTCACATTTATGGAAAACAAAACCACGCATACTGTAGCGTGTTATGAGCATAAGTTTATTTATTTTTTCCTTTTGGGAACAATAGTTGCTATACTTAGAAATATGGGTAGTTGGTGGTAGCAAAGGTTCATGTTTACCTCTAATGCTCGGAGCCGGTGCCATGTCCAGACTTGTAAATCAGGCCCATTGAGGTAGCATAATGCTGATGATGATGACAGTCAGTCACATGGGAGTGATAGAAGGACGTTGAGTTATGGGCTTGGGGAGGATGCCCAGAATTGAAGAGTCTCACAAATGGAGAAGCACTTCCACCAAAACACAAGTCTCCAGATGGGGACTAATGCTGCAGTTGGCGGCTGTGCTGCCCAAATGAGTGCACATTAGCTGCTCAAACCCCACAGAATAGTAAAGAACGTTTGCTGTTTTTTTTTTTCTTAATTTCACAGTTCTGCCGTTTCACTCTATTACTGCTCGATAGCATTTCAAAAACACACAGACTGAACCAAAGAGCAAGACCCAGCCAAAGTATTTTGCAAGTGTTTTGTCTTGCACTGGCATGCAATGCATCACTTAACTAGATGATTTCCAAATGGATTTATATTTACTGTATTGCTAAAGAATGTACTGTTTGCATACTGCTCTGTGCACTCTACTCGCCTTTGAGGATGGACGATCATTTATTGCCATTGATCATCAGCCATGACAATATAATCAGGCATAAAGCCTGACAAGCTTGGCTGATCCGATAGATCAGAGCTGCTGACAGCAGGACTATGTACAGGTCATAAACTCTCACCTTCTCTGTTTGACCCCACATCAATTTGGATCTTCCAATATGAATGCAAATAATAATGCATTTTTGGTGACATGTTTATGGTTATCTCTGCATCTCCCCTTGCCCTGCCTGCTGCTCTGAAATATGCTGTTACCCAGCTAATGGGATTGAAAGAGTAACCTACTGCTCACTAGTGGTCAGCTTGGCTCTCCCTTCCTCTCTAACCCATCTCCCCGAACCACAAACGTCAGCACATGCCCTTGCTCCCACACACATATGCACACTTACATGTCCTCCACCCTAGTCACTTGTGTATGCATTGAGCTGATAAGTACTGTGGTTCATTTTCCCCATGGCAAAGCACAGTAAAGAACTGGGAGTAATAATTGCTTTGGGGGCAAGACTAGGATGGTTAAATATGCTTGATTGCCTCCTAAGTATCGGTGCTGTGTAATGAAATATGGCTGCTGCAGACAGGAGCTCCCGTGCGATAGCTTTCTTGTCACTTTCTCACATGCTCTTTTTTTTTTTTTTTTTACCCCTTCACTCTTCTGTTCTGGCATTTTCATCTTTCCTCACCCATTGCCTTTGTCACAAAATAGAGTGCATCAAAGCATTTGTTGCCATTGAACACTTATCTTAGCTATAGTGTAATAATTACTGGGGCTTAATTGAGAATTCTTCACATCAAAACAGCAGGAACCCTAATATTCCTCTGTTCTACAATTTAATTTGTGGATTCATTAGCATGGACAGGGTGTATGTAGAGAACCCAGATAACAGGGAACTCCACAAAACCACACTTCTGATGAGGTCAGGTTTAAAGGGGCAGCCATATCCTCACCTGGGTCCCTTTTTATTTACACATTAAGACCCTAAAGTCACTATTAAGTCACTAACGTCCATGAAGATCTCTTAATGCAGCTAAATACTAAGGTGGTTGCTTTGCTCCTATTTTTGATTTTAATTAAAATCAAAACTGAAAATAAACTGAGTTAACACAAAGCAGAAGTTTTGCGCAGAGACTACTGCAATCACGACATTCACAGTCATCACTGCTAATCATCTCATTTGTCTGCCAAAAAGCCCTACAATAACATTTTAAAAGATAATGCCTCAAATTAAAACTCACTCACTGTAGCTAAAAAATGTTTATCCCCAGCTAATTCTTGTTGTAACCACCCAAAGCACATTTCTCCCTGTTGGTTAAATAAGTAGCTAATCATTTACAAGAATATTAGTCCACAGGCTTGTATGGGCACAGCAGCATCTGCTAATGCATTTAGCAAGAAAATAGCCTGAGAAAATCTTCCCAGAACATTAAATACAAGACTTTTTCTTTCCCTTTTTGCTTCCAGAATAACTCACAAGCCTAATTTGCTGTGCTACTTAAAGGAAAACGTAATTACACTTTTCATTATAATTCACAAAGCAAATCGATAACTGTGGCTACGTCGGTCTCGTCTGCACATGCAATTTTCTGTTCCCTCAACTGAAATTTGGTTGCAAAACAAGTATTCTGTGTCTCCCTATATGTTTTGTACAGTACATAGTGATGCAGAGTAAATTCATTAAATAAACAGCATATAGTAACAATAAGAGATTGTTTGAAATACATATTAGTGATGCTTTGTCTTTATTAGATGTTTGTAACAAAGGTACAGAAATGCTGGGACTTGACTTCACTTACCCAGGTTGATTAAGATATTCAACCCTGTCCTGTTTCTTTTTGTCTGCCTCATTTATGCAGTTCTCTTTCCTGAGACATCAACCACAGGATGAGGCCTGCGGCAGGTAAGAAACTGAAGAGAATAACTGATGAGTTGGGGACCAGAATGTTCTGACATCTTGTCTTCCATCATTCCAAATTTGCTTAAGTTCAATGCAACACATCAAAGGTGATGACATGCTATGCTTTATTTGTTGTGGGTTCAAGACGGTCATGTGTCTAAGCATCTGTCTTAAAAAAAAAAAAAAAAAAGGGAACTGGCTGTTCTAAGTGCGAAGACAGGCCAGAAATTATGTCAAGTGATGTCAAAGAAAGAAATGAGCTAAGGCTCTGGCTCAATCCCTACCATCTCTTGACCTGTAGGGGCAGGAGGGGGGAAAACTGTATCTGGCAACCTAAACCTTTTTAAAGTGACTGAGAGAGTGAGGGAGACTGATTGGCACTGATGGGACCAGACTAGAACTGTGCAATGCTGTGCTGCACTGCAGCCGGGCCTCACAAGCCTGATTGATAGAGTGTGATGAGACTGTCACTGAGCAAGGAGAGCAGCAGAGAGATGGGCTAGATGGAGGGAGGGAAGTGGGTTGACCAGCTGAAAGAGATAGAGAGAAATAAATCTGGGAACATGTGAAGGATGAAGCAGGGGAATGAAGAGGTTGGAGGGGATGTGTTTCAGACACATGAAGGATGGGAAGGTGGAGGTGTAGGGGGCACTAGCAGAAAGGAGAGTCAGATACTGCAAGGCTCCACTCATACACATGATTAAATGACACAGTTGGGAAAATATAAAAGCTTACTACAAAAAGAAAGAATAAAAATAGCCTCTATTCCTAGAAATAGCCTTCGCAGTCATTTAGTGTGTCTTGATGTTGTGTTTAAGTGCACTGTGAGCCACAACAAAATGGAGACATGTTCCATGTAAGAATAAATGCTGAATGATCCTGAGATTGTCACCTTAAAAAAAAAAGTCAAATGTGTTAACCACAAGTGTGTTTCCTGAAACTAGTCTTTCTCCAGCATTAACCAAAGGGTCTTGTTGTATAAACATAACCACGTGTGGTGCTCAGGATCTTGTCAGGCAATTGTCCGAAGTTTTCAAGTCCCAAAAACTAATGCACATTTTCCTTATACTGTACATCTCCCATGTGAATGTCATAAATCCTTCCTGGCTTATCTGCACCTGGTTTGTGCACAGTATTTGATCATATTTGACACATGGCATCTTGCTAGTGAGGGTAATACAGGCTAAGCTAAAGCCCTGTTCTGGGAATCCCATTTAACGATTTCAGACTCAATAAAAGGCACCATGTTTTACTTTTATCCCTGCCTGAGGAAAGACAGCTGACTCACCGGAACTCCACAGTTATTATTAGTGTCTCACATGTGTGGAGCAAAGCTATATGTACTGTACGTGCATGTGAGTGTGTGAAAGACAGTGAGATGGTGAGCTCCAGAAGCAGCAGTAAGTGCATGCGGGAGTAGCACGAGGAGCTCTTATCTGCTGCCTGCCAAAGCCTGACCAAGGCCCTGACTCCTGTGCTCCCCCCTCCCTCTGCCGCTCTCCGGAGGGGCTTCCCACTAGTCTGCTACAGGCAGGGCGGCCAGGTGAAATGAGAAATTCCCATTCAGGGACAGGGATGCCGAGCAGACTTGCCTTGTCAAA